CCGGAGATGGGCGAGAGGGCACGCAGGAGGGCCAAGGTGCGGGGAGGCACCCAGAAAACACTGTCCTCTTTCTGCCCGCATCCCCGCTTTCCCAGCTCAGGCCTTAGGCATCCCTGCTTGCCCCGGGCTGGAGCACTAAGTTTAAACAGTGATTTTTAAAATAGAGAGAGAAAAATCTTTGCCTTTGCCAGCTAAATAAAAGCTGAGTAACCGAATTGCTTTTCTCAAGGTCAGAGAACAGGTTCTTATAGATAGCGAAGAACCCAGTCTTCGTCTCTGAGCGTGGGCTGGGCCAGGCTGCCACCTTGTCCAGGAGGGCAAGCCGTGAAGGTGATGGATGGAGGAAGCCAGCCAGTGCCTCCAGTTGTGGGAACCCCTCCTCTTGTACCGTCTCTCCTGTGCATTTATGTCCCCCCAATAGTTGTCACAGAACAGCATGAAACAATAAATTTTAAAAGTTTACCCCTTTCCCAGTGCAATAGCTGTTCACATGCCAGAGCTGACATTGGAAATTTACAGGTCTGTACTTATCAATGTTAGGAGTGAATTTTATTGAGTGTTTCCGACTCCATGTGCCTTGGGTTGAGACATTTGCATTAATTCACAACCTTACTGTGACAACCTTCCCATGTAACAGTTAGGTCTAGTGAGCTCCTGAGTGTAAGTTTGCCTGATGTTGCAAAGATATATTAGTGGTAGGTTCAGCTTTGGCATCCAATTGGTTAAATTCCAGAGCTTCTATTCTAAAAGTCTGTAAAAATACGTGTGGAAAAAAAACTACTACAAGATGTCTCAGTTGTGTGGAATGGTAACATAGGGTGAATAGCATCTCACCAATAAGATGAACCTCAAAGTCCAACTGCAGAGCAAGGAAACCAGTACCTTTAGTGCAGTACTGGAGAAGAGGGCACAAGTAATTTTATTTTCATTATCCTTTTGCATGGTTATTAAATTACTAAGATTGGGGTAAATGATATCACATTTATGTTTCTTAATGTAAAAATAACAAGAAAAAAATTAATTTACTGCTGCGAAAATTGTTAAATGTTGGGATGCTTCTAGTTAAGTATAGTTTCCATAATTATAATTATAGTATAAATACAAGTTTACATTGTTTTATGAGAAGCATTTTTTCAATATTGTTATATAGTTTCTATAAGCTAGTTTTAGAAGAAGGCTTATTACTTCAGGTACCGACACTATAATTCAGTGGTTAAAATCGAAGCTCTTAGCATGTCTTTCTGACACCTGTGACTTTGGGTTCACTGCTTTGTAAGTAAGATAGATTAGTAATAATACCCTGTTTAGTTTAGGTTAGAGTCCCAGGGGTGAGATTTCTGACTGGGAGATGTGAACACAATGGACTTAACCATTTCTTTTATTAAAGGATCATTTTACTGGGGGCTCTTACAGCTCTTTGAACAATCCACCCATCAGTTGTATCAAGCATATTTGTACATATGTTGCCATCATCAGTTTATAAACATTTACTTTCTTTTGAGCCCTTTGTATCAGCTCCCTCCCCTTGTGACCTTTTATAAATTATTATTATTTTCATATCTTACACCGACTGCTATCTCCCTTCCCCCACGATTTCTGTTGTTCCTCCCCCTAGGGGATGATGGCCACGGTTATGTGTCCATCATTACAATTGGTTCCCCCTTCCTCCCTCTTCTCTCCACCGTCCCCCTACCTTCCTTGCATTGATACTCCCATTCCTGTTCCTAGATTCTGTGTGTGTGAGCTCTTATCTCTTATCTGTACCTATGCACATGCTCCGGTCTAACCTAGGGTCATAGTGTGGGGTGAGGAAGCCTCAAGGAACCGGAGGAATATTGTGTGTTTCATTGGTGCTATACTGCGCCCTGGTTGACTCATCCCTTCCTCGTGATCCTTCAGTGAGGGGATGTCCCATTGTCTACATATGGGCTTTTAATGTCTAGTTCAAAGTACCAGT